TATGCAATCAAGTAATTAGATCAGGCGCACAAGGCTCGCAGAACCCCTGATAATCTAATCAAAGCTTCAGACTCTTTAAACATAAAGATTTATATCCTCACTTTCTTGTAAGTGCATACATTTTCTAGGGCCTCATATAATCCCTGAAGCTCATTATGAAACAGTGATGTTTAAAAATTCCTGATAATTGAATTTTTCCTGGAGAGTCTAGTGTCTAAACACAGTCATATTTATCCTGCACCTAAAGTTTAGGAAGATTTGTAGTGGTGCCAAAAAAAATTGAGTATAACTATATTGAGAGGCCAACTGAAAAAGAGATCTTCAGTTCAAACTCTAGAATCTGGATTTGAAAAATAGAATATAACTTGGCATTGTGGTGGCAACTGTAAAATATTTGATAAATTCCTAAGGATTTTTCTTTTTTTTACTCTGTCGAGTGATAGAGTGACAGTTTTTCTTACTCAGCTCAATAGTTTTTTGTTTGTTTTGAACAAATCAGTCAAAGGTTCTACAGAGAAATCAACTACAGGTGGTGTCTGCCACCCAGGAGTTCCTGGAAATCCTGACATCAGGGAGCAATGTGCTATTTTGTGCCTAGGGTTGTTTGAACACAAAGTTTTATCTTTAGGCAGAGGTGAAAGACATTCCAATGCCCATAATATTAAGTGTTGGTTTGGTGTTGTGTTTAGAAGGTAAAATAAGGATTTGTGGATTCCTTTGACTGGTTTTTGTCTCTTGCTGTCCTTAATTTTTTGCCCCATTGTGGTAAAAAAAAAAGAAAAGAAAGCACAACATTACAATTTGTCCTTGAGAAAGAAGTTACTTTTAAATAGAGAAAAGTACTTTCTAAATCTCTCCTCAGTTCTTTATAAATCTGGCCTTTCAGAAACTTGTAAAGGTCATTGACTTTTTTCTAAAGGATATGCAGGAGGAAGTAAACTAATGTAAACAAGTGTAATTTTTTAAAAAACTGAAAATAGTACTCAATTTAGTCTTCATTCATTCGGGAAGTAAATGATTCAATTCTTTGTTACAAGAACAGGATTTCTTTTAGAAAAGTAACTATTGAACAAAACTTCAGAGTCTCTAATTTTTCTATATAACCAAGGTCTTTTAAGTGACTAAAGAAGTTGCTTATTAAGAAAAATCGTATGTCCATTACTACAGTATTACTGAGAAATAAAATCAATTTCTGCAAAGGCTTTTTTCCCCATGGCACTCAGTCTCCTAAAATCTTCCTTACTTGACTTTCAGCTAGTAAGCCAAGATCAAAAACAGCCTAGAATAATGTACATTCAGCTAGGAACAAAATCTCACAAGATATTGAATCAATCTCTTTTGTCTTCCAAGTTGTTTTTTTGTTTGTTTGTTTGTTTTAGTATGCATATCCTGGATGCCTCCCTAGGGTCCACCCACGCTGCTTTGTCACTGCATGAGTAGCAGGTGACTGAAAGGACTGAGGGGTGGCTGACACTATGAAAGGGATCCAGCCCCATGAAGCAGGTCAGCAGCCCTTCAGGTAGAGCAGGAGCCCTGATCTAGTCCTTCCTGCCTTTGCAGTGGTTATGCCAGGCACCAGCCTAGAAAGATAAGGTTAATTCTATATTAGCATGATTGTCATGGGTCTGTCACAGTTCCTTTAAAATAGTTCATCTTTCTTATCAAATCAGAATCAAAATACATATGTTAATAAATTATGTTAAAAATGGTTGGTAAAGATGAGAGATCATAGTAAGCATCATCCCTAATAAAATTTTGCTTCAAGAAGCCTTACTTACTTAAATTGCATTTCTTAAATTGTACTCTATGATAACTCTTATCAATGCTCAATCAAAAAATAACAACTTAAAGTGTGTGTCTATTTTGGAGCTTTTATCTTACTATCTTTTTATTTCTATAATGTTGTCTTAAGCAAAGCCCTTCACCTATTCAAAGAACTGAAAACATCACTTTTGCCCAGTTTGCTAACTCTTTCTAAGACTCTCCTCTTTTACATCCAAAAGATAACCTTTTAATTTAAAAGAAAGTGTTGGCAGAGGAAGTCAATGGGGAAAAAAGGGGGGACATCTGTAATACTTTCAACAATAAAGAGAAATGTAATAAATAAATAAATAAATAAATAAATAAATAAATAAATAAATAAAAGCAAAGTGTAACGTCTTTATTCTTAGAAATACCTTTTCTATTTGTTAGTATGCTTTGGGAGACAGGTGATATTTATTTTGGATCATTTTCTCTGACCATCAAAATTATTTCCTTTTCAAATCTCTTTCAACTATTACTATCCTGTTCTCAGTTCTTCTTATTATCTAGGTCATTAATTCTGTTTTGAGCCAGGCTTAATCTATTTTTATTTTAAATTAATGCTTGTTTTTTAATGATTTTTTAACTCAATACATTTCAATATATTTATTCTATCATCTTACTTTCCATTGTATCCCCTTTTTTACATAAACATATACTTGAGTAATTGTTGTACATAATTTCTATCCTTAGTAAATGTTAGGCACTAACAAAACTCTCTTTTGTTAACATGTTTTCTTTATCTTTTTAGTACTATGTTTTTTCTTTCTATATAATACTGACTTAAAGCCATAAAACAAAACTACAGACAAATCTCATTAACATAGACTTATTAATCTCTTAAAAAGCTTTTAAAATATATATATTTTAGAAGGAAGTATGCTTTCCTGCAGGAATTAAAGAAAAATTTAGTATACGTAAATCAGTAATGTTATCTGTTTATGTAAATTAAAACGAATTAGAAAAGAAAATTATCAGATGACAATCCTGATAGGAATTAAAGGGCAATAAATAAATGTTCTGCTAACCCCAGTATTTAAATCCTCAGTCAAACCCCCTCCCTGTCTTGTGACGCTACTGATTTCCCTTGCTCAGCCTTTTTTTCATACACTTGCCATTTCCTGACATATTGTATAAAGTACTTGCTTGCTATATTTGTTGTTTATTGCCTGGCTCCTCTTGCTGGAATATAAAGCAGAGCTGTTTGTCATGTTGGTCCCTGCTCCTTCTCAGTGAGAATTATTTCTGGGAATAGCGAGCATCCAGTGATTATTTGTTGAATAAATGGCTAAAGAATTGTGCCCACGAGACATGGCACTTGCTTCTCATTAAAAAGTGAATAGAGAAGCAAAGGTTTAAGGTGAGGAAGTTAGCGAGCTACGTGCCCATCGGAGGGAAGAGAAATGCAGGCGCAGGGAACAAAAAGTACAGCCTTGAGGGCAGGGAGGCTCTCGGGCTGGGGGGGAGCAAGGGGCTCGGCAGGGACTGGGGATCACCGTCGGGGAGGGTTGTGCAGCCAAGGAAAATGTCATTGTCCCGGACAAGCCTGCCACTGATGACTCAGAGGAGGAACATTAGCTGGGTAGAACATTAATTCGCCATAGGGCAGTTTTTAATGATGTGCCTGAAGAAAAAATTCCTGCAGTCTGAACGATTCAGTTGACAAGCCCCCTGGCCTGATCTCTGAATCAGAATGGTGGCATTAAACAAGAGTCTTTCTAATCAAACAAAAAAGAGCACATCCCTATGTTCTTTTTTGTCATTGTCTTCACTCTCAGAATTGCTGGCCAGAAATCCTTAATAGATGGGCATGTGTCCTTTAAGCTCCAGAATTTTCCAGCCTGCTCTCTACCAGGCCAAACTGAAAAGGAGAAAAAATTATACAGAAAACCAGCAAGTTATCATGAAAGGTAAAAGATCACAACCAGTATTCCTGGTTCTTTTATTAAAAATCTTGCTACGAATGTCTCGTGTATTAGTATGAACTTTAACTTTATTGTACATATGCTGATGATTCTAACTCTACCTCCCCCAGTGTATGCTGCGGTGGCAAGTACACTTTCATGCTCCCCACTCACAGTTGCTCAACCCTCTGTAAATATATTTTTCTTGGGAAATAACAGTCGTTCAAAAATATGTTCAAAGGTAATAATGTCTTTCATAGTTTTTTAAATAGTTTTATTTTGGAAAAAAATTAAAAATTTGTTATATAATTAACATTATATCAGAATTACCAGCAATTACAAAGTCAGCTCTTTTCATATTTTATTATTCTCTGTTCCTACTAAACACTATTATTAGAGTCAGAATTTAGATTTTGGTCTGTTGTTTCTTTTTCATACTGAAATAAATAAAGTTTTTGATGTTGTGATAAAGTCTTCATATTTACCACTTTTGATAGATGTGTAACATTCTACCAAAGGAAGTATAGGACATGTATCTTAATTTTTATTAAACATTTCCACTCATCTAAGATTTTACTAATATTAATTTTTGCTTCAGTGAATGATTTAGTATGTTCATGTTTACTCTTTGTGTGGGAATTTCTTGACTGAGTCAGTTATACTTGGTGCTCAAAACCATGGATCTTGCACATCAATTATGTATGACAAATGTCTCCTACACAAAGAAAAGTTTCTAAGATAAAAATCAGCAATAACTGGAAAGGCAGTTTTCCTAATACTAACCGACACTTGTATAGCACCCACTGAAGGCCAGGTACTTTCTAAGTGCTCTACATATGTTAATCAACGTAATCCAATGATAGGAGAATTATTATTAAGCCAACTTTACCGATGAGGAAGCTGAAGCATGGAAAGTTTATGTAATTTGCCCAAAATGACACAGTAAGTGAATGACCTGAAATTCTATCCCAAGCAGTTTGACAGTGGAGTATTCTCTTAACCGCTACGCTGTGCTGCTTTGAGCAGTTAAAATATTCCCCTATTGTATTTCAGATTGCTTCCTTTTCCAGGTGCTTTTCTTTCTTTTATAAATGTTACTTTAGCCCAGAAAAGATGCCAAGTTATTTATTTGTTCTTTTGCTAAACAAATGGGTACTTTTCACCCATTTTGGAGTTTTCTGTACTTATTGTAGCAGTGGGTGAGGGAAAGAACTACAATTTTCATTTAAAACCCCACCTCTTCCCTTCTCCAACTCTTGTCAATGTTTGCATTGTCCCTGAAAGTTCCAATAGAATAGAGCAGAGGGGCAAGGAGGTGACCAGCAGCTCAAGTTTCAAGGCCAGGAGAACCAGGGGGAGGGCGGCCAGGCCGGCTCCAGGGCCAAGACCCCAGGAGGAGAACTGAGCAATCTTTTTAGAAATCCAGAAAAAGCTATTCCTTCAAGCAGGACTAATAGGATGGCATCTAATATTTTTGGATCAACTGAAGAACCTCAGAACATACCTAAAAGGACCGATTCCCCAGGAGGGAAAGGAAGTGGCATCTTTGATGAATCAACCTTTTCGGAACCCACCTTTGTGGGAAGAGCAGTGATATTTTGGGGGTCCCAAGTAGCTGCCATTTCACCCTTGGCATACCCAAACAAACCCAAGGACCATGTGTCCTGTTATGAAGGAGAAGACTCAAAATTGAACCTAAAAGCAGCAAGGAGCACCTCTACCAGAAAAGAGCTGGGTGAGAAAGGTGGCAGAGAGAAACAGCTCCCAGGGGCCGAGCCCATGGGACAGGGTGACAGCCAGGAGCACAGCCTGGGCATCAGCCTCACTCTCACAACAGGGTCCTGAACCACTCGAGACCAATCCAGCATCTCCTTCTACTAAGAGAACTTAGTAGAAGTGCTTCCGTGTAACCAGACAAAATACTCAAGAGGCAGGACCACAAATATTGTAGTTTCTTTCAGTCCAAACGAGCAGCGGTGGGGAGGGGCCTGTCGTGTATCCCAACCACTGCTCAGTCTCCGTTGCCACCATGAGAGCTGCAGAGGACCTCGCCTTCCACATAGCTAGAGGCACATCTTCGCTTGTTTTCTTTCTATTTCATTAGCCCTAAGACTAGGCCTTGGCTCTTCACAAGGATGTGGACAACTCCCCTCACAAGCTACAGTCTTCTTGTTAACAAGGTCCATTGACTTCTGCAAAACTTTAAAACTCTGTCCAGATGCATCCAGGTAATGGGGTTATTTAAATCCTTCAGAGGTCTTACTTTATTTCTGTTGATGGAAAGAAGAGATGTGTGAGAACTTTGGGTTCTTAAGTTTGAATTATTTAATATCTAAAGAGCCATTCTAAAATACCAGCTTTGTATAAGTGACTATTGACTCTGGTCTGTTTCTAACACCTTTCTAGAAGGAAGAAAAAAAAAAGTCATTTCCTCAGGTACACCTAAGAGAAAGAAAAGTTTGTTTCAGCCACCTTTTATAGAGCTTTGCAGACCTCTGGACCATAGTACAGTTTCCAGAAGAGATTCGAGACCTTAGGCCAAGAGATTAAGTACTTTGGCAGCAAAGGCTCACCTGGGGGCCAATTCCATGATATTTGCCAGCAAACACAATGGACTGACAAAGTCATGTTGCTTTACGGCAAGAGTTTCTTCCAGGGCATATTGACAGGACCTGCAGGTGGCTTTGTCAACCTGACAGTTTCCCCCTTCCAATTGCCTTGCTGACTTTAGAGCCAAGAAACACTCATTCCTTGGGACTCAATCAAGTACTTTCTGTCTCCATTCTTCAAATTGTCATGTATAAAAAAGTTGTATGGAATTCAGAGCATTTTTTCCTCATTAAAAAAATGTCATAAATGGGGGTTAGCTTTTAAGCTCAAACACACTAACAGGTTTAACGTACACCAAAATGTTCCAACAGTAGAAGTGAAGTACTATTTATAACTACTTGTTTTGTTTTTCAGTATACAAAAAAATAATTTGTAAATTCCAAATTGGATTGTCAAGAACTCTGAGATTGTAGTGCTGGCCCTTGTGGCTTCACCCCACCCTCACTGTCAGCCAAACAGAGGTAGAGCTCTCTAGCCCACTGGCAGGGATTTCTGGGGTGTAGAGGGGAGAAACCAGAGATGGGCAGAGCAGGCTGGGGAAATGAGGAGACCGTGAACTCTGGGCAGCAACAACAAAACTCCCCGCCTTACCTTTCTACGCATCTTTCCCCCTTCTGTTCCCCTCACTGAGGCTTCAGGAGTGGTTAAAGTGTACTCTATACCTTGAAGACTGAGGAGATTGGGAAGATTCATTAACCTCAGTGTCCTATTCTCAACCTTTAAGCTGCATTGAGAAATTACTAGTCTGTATTTTTAACCCTACAGCTTTTCTTGTGTACAATTGGTGCCAACATTTTTCTAAAACTGCACAAAAACAGACTTGTACTCACATCACAATGTGGTTTTGATAGGAACTTTTAGTTTTCACAAGGAAGAATTGGATAGAATAGTTGAATTACACTTAGCAATTATGTTTTTTAAAAAAGAATAAAGGAGTGTGGAAAGAAATATTGAACTGGAAGTCTTAATTTATCTAGGAAATAAAGACCCAGCAAGGCTCTCTACCTTACCTTAGAACTCAAAAGTGGAATAATTGTCATAGGGATATATCCTTGTGAGTTTATTAAAATTAAAAATGAAGTGATATTTTTCTATCAAAAATAAGTCTAATTGACTGACTAGTTTGACAATTAGAATAGGCTTTTCAAATTAGCTTGTTGGTGGATATTTTCTAGAAATTTATTCAAGTATATATGTAAGTCATAGTTTAGATAAGATAAAAGCATTTTATGATATTTTATATTGATAAAAGTGTGATTAAATTAATAAGATTTCAATTTTCCCAAGTTTCTTAAGTATATTAGATGTTTTTTAAATTTTTTTTAAATTTTTCTATGATGGTTTATATTCAATACGATTTTGTATTAGTTTCAGGTGTACAGCATAGTGGTTAGACTAGGATATACTTTAAAACTGATCCCCCAATATTTTAAGTACCCACCTGGTACCATACAGATCATTACACCTCATCCACAGAAGTGCCTGTCTCTCATCATATTATATTTTATATTTAAACCAGTTCTCTAATCAAAACACACATACTTCAATTTTGTGTGGACCCTAGTTAAATTAATGTGACAGTGTGGATCTTTCTTATTTTCAGAATTTCATTAAAATAGATTTTAATATCCCCATTTCCCTTGGAAAGCAAATAAGATGATGAATCATTATTGGCAAAATATTTTTATATTGCTCAAGCTTAAATTAAATAAGAGTGTTCAACAAATAAAGGTCATTTTCTTAGAGAATTAAATACATTAATTGGCTTTATATTCTAAATGTTAAATGAACTAAGAAACGATAAATATATGTTACATGGGTTGTTATATCCAAATGAACTATCATTTTCTTTATAAACAAACAAATATAAGGATAGCTGTAAAAAGCAAAAGTTAATTTTTTAAACAATAGCGATTATCTTCAAGCTGATTTTGTTTAAAACCCTGTGATAAATTTTATTTCTTTGTTTCATTAAAGTACCATATAAGATGAAGATTTGGGAACACAATGTTCCCTGAATTACGAAGAAGGGACTTGGGATATGTATTTATATTAATAGTTCTCTTTTAAAAAGAAAGAAAAGTGTCAATTCAGGTCCTTTGCCCATTTTTTAATTGGATTGTTTATCTACCTGGTGTTGAGTTGTATAAATTCAAATTATATATTTTGGAAATTAAACCCTTATCACACAATGGAGTACTATGTGGCCATAAAAATAGAAGAAAATCTTACCTTTTGCAATAGCATAGGTGGACCTGGAGATTATTATTCTAAGTGAAATAAGCCAATCAGAGAAAGACAAATATCCTATGATCTCACTTATATGTGGACCCTAATGAATGAAATAAACCGATGAACAAAATAGAAACAGAGGCATGGATGCATGGGACAGACCAACAGCTGTCAGAGGGGAGGGAGGAAAAGGGGACTGGATGAAAGAAGGCAAAGGGATTAGCCAAAGGACTTTTATACGTAACAGACAACAGTGTGGTGATGGCCAGAGGGAAGGGGGTGCTGAGGGCAGGGGGGAGATGGGCAAAGGGCGGAGGGAAATTGGGACATCTGTAATCATGTCAACAATAAAAATCAAGTTAAAAAAATTAAATAAAAATAAAGAGAAATCAAGAATACTGACTGATTTCATCAAATTATGCAATGTATTTGTTGTTCCTTAAAAATATTTAAAGTACTGATTAATAACCAGAGCCAGTGTAACCTCAAAGCACTATTTTTCAAGTTCTTAGAAAATTTGAGAAAGTAGATGGAAGAATACTGTTAGTTGTGGAAATTATCTGGAATTGATTTTTTTTATACTGGAAGTAGTTAATATGTTACAAAAAAAAAATGGCTAGCAGTTTACTTTCACTGCCCATCAGGTAAAATAAAAACCAGTGATTGTGGAACAGGAGCAGAGTTCAAGGAATCAAGGCCTCAGACTCTCATTTCCTTTTCTTCTGCACACCATGAGGGGAAGTCAATTGCCCAATGCAGTCTTTATTCTGCTCTTCCTGCTCCTTCCCAGAGATGCTTCAGCTACTTCAAAACCGTAAGCAACATTTCCAGAAAAGCCTATTGTCCTCCTCTCTCCCATTGTGTTACCTGCTTCTTGGTGTCTATTTATTTTCTGATTCCCTTTGAAATGACCTATTGTTAAAAGGGCTTGGAAGGGTCATTATGTTCTTATTGCACTTCACTCATATGTGGAATCTAATGAACAAAATAAACAAACACAATAGAAACAGACTCATAGATACAGGGAACAGACTGACAGCTGTGAGAAGGGATGGGGATTGGGGGCTGGGTGAAAAAGGTAAAGAGATTAAGAAAAAAAAGTCATAGACACAACAGTATGGTGATTACCAAAGGGGAGAGGAGGGGAGGTAGGAGAGGAGATAAATAGTGACAGAAGGAGACGACTTTGGGTGCTGAACACATACCCACAATACACAGATGGTGTCTTATAGAATGTACACTTGAAACCTATATAATTTTATTAACCAATGTCACCCCAATAAATTCAATACTTTTTTTGAAGTTGTTATTGATCACATGGAAAGAAGTATACTCCAGTTCTAGAAAACTCAGAGGGCAGTAACATTTATGAACCATTTGCCAAATAAGAATATAAAATTCTAAAATAAAAAAGTAAAAATTAAAGAATATAGACTTCTACAGCATTCATAAAATATAAAATATAAGGACCATAAATTCTTTATTAGCTCATGAAAAGGGCTGTTGTGTCATGGTCATTATAAAGTGACTCAGTCACTTGACTTGCCCCACATCAGGACTTGACAAAATGGATGCACAGCTACAGACAAGCCAGGGTTTGTGTAAAACTTCAGTGGCTGGCATTAGTTCTTGGGATGCAAAGATTAACAAAAGTGGACCCTGCCCTCAATACCTCAGTATAGATAAGAGAGTTGGTGCACAGAATGAAGCGCAGTGCAAAACCAGGAGCAGGTATTGCAGGGTTCTGTGAGAATATTTACAAAGGAAACTTAACTCCTTATGGGACCTGATATAAGCGAAGGAGTGTCACCAAACTCTGCATAGAGAAAATTGTTTTCAAGATAAGTCTTATGAAGCGAATAGAAGTTTTCCAGATAGACAAGGACACTTCTGAAGGGGGAAAGGCATGGGCAAGCAGAGCTTCGTAAAGTGCAGAGTGTTTGGGTGATTATAAATGATGACTGAAGAGCCACAGGAGAGTGGTTAGGCTGGCTTGGTGTGGC